AATTTATTTATTTATTGGGGGGTGGTGCATGTATGTCCTGGAACATGACTGGAGGTCAGAGGATAACTTGGGGGAGTCAGTTCTCTCTCCTTCCACATGTGGGTCCTGGGGATTGAACTCAGGCTGTCAGGTCTGGCAGCATGTTCACTTGCTGAGCCCTACCCCTTGTTGTTGGTGTTTTTCTTCTTTTTAAAATATTTATTTTTATTTTATGTGTATGAGTGTTTTGCCTGCATGAATGTTAAGTGTACCAGATTTATTCAGTGCCCATGTAGGTCAGAAGTTTCAGATCCTCTGGAACTGGAGTTATAGATGGTTGTTAGCCACCATGTAGGTGCTGGAACTGAACCCAGGTCCTCTACAAGTGCAGCCAATGCTCTTAACCAATGAGCTGTAACCACTGAATCATCTCTTCAGCTTCTGCTCTTTCTCCTAATGCAGAGGAACTGCATTTGTGGCTTTACTTACATCCTCACATCTCAAGGACACTTCATTCATCCCATCAGCAACAGGAATTAGTAACTTGATTCCAAATTTCCTTCCTGTTACATTCACATCTGGCACAATTTCACAACCTGGAGAACAAAACGCAGAGATAAAACTTAGTTCCGAGGAATGTTATAATGTATATACCCTTACATCTACATTATATATTATATATAATGTGTCATAATGTATAATGTATCTAGAGTAAAGACTTTGAACATAATTTGGCTTCTTTTAAAAACTGGAGAAGCAACCGATAACATTAATGCAAGGAAAACTAAATAAAGTTTGCAAACAAACAACATGAATAAATAAAATGATTTTACTATTTTGCTTTTTAAAAAAGGTTTATTTTATTTTGCTTATATGTATGTCTATGTGTGTGGATGCCACATGTGTGTGGATGTCTGCAGAGGTCAGAAGAAGGTGTCAGATCCCTTCTTAAAGATGGTTGTGAACTGCCTGATGTGGGTGCTGGAAACTGAACTCAGGTCCTCTAGAAGAGCAGCAAATGCTCTTAAAAACTGAGCAGTCTTTCCAGATCTGATTTTATAATTTTCTTTAAAAAACTGAATTCATGTTCAGGATGATATTGGTTATCCTGTTAGGACCTTTACAAATATACAACAAAATTTGAGACACAGTATCATATGTATCCCAGGCTGACCTTGCATTTTCTATGTAACCTAGACTAGTCTTGAATTCACAATCCTCCTGCCTCAGGAATGCACCCTCCCTCCTGGTATGAACAGAAAGTTTAAAAGAAGTCAAAGCAGAAGTAATTCTCTGCTGCAGTAAGCAGAGTTGAGTCTACTGGTAGATTAAATAATTCAGTTAACAGAGATTCAATATACTTACAGGCTTTTTCAGAAAGGGTTAGAATAAGCACTAACATGACATAAAATTAAATGTAACTTTTCCTGACTTTTTCTTTTCTTGTAGTACTTGGGATTGAGCCTAGGATCTTGCACAAAAGTACATGGTCTGCTATTGAACCACAACCCCAGTCTAGGCATGACTATTCTGGAATCAGAAAGCTTCACAGGATCTTACAATGCCTCATGCACGACACTTGTAGACACTGATCATCACTACTTTAAAGACTGTAGACAGTGGTTGGAGCAATGGCTCCCTGGGTAAGAACACATACTGCTCTTACAGAGAACTGGAGTTCAATTCCTAGCACCCACACTGAGCGGTTCACAACTGCTTGTAACACTAGCTCCAGGGGGATCTAAAACCTCTGGCCTCCATAGGTGCCTGCACTCAGATGCATATACCCACAGACAGACAGATACACATACATATACACAGATGAATCTTTAAGGACTAGAGGCACACTGGGAGGGAAGGGACAGCAGAGTACAAATAGCCACATTTACAAGTCCCCAAGCAAGGCCCACATTCCAGGACAAAGAAGAGTTGCCATTTGGAAAGCAGTGAGGTTCAAGAGATTCTTCTAGATCCCGTTAGAATCCTGTCTTTGGTCTGCTTGTTGCATCATGACCAGCCACAGCAAGGTACAGGGTGTTCTTACCTCTAATATTTAGTTTTTCTATTGGTTCTCCTTGTTCAAGTTCCTTATTTTTAAAGTAGGCTATAGATGTGTCTTTAAAGACAAACCAATATTGTTTGAAATCTTTTAATATTAGCTTCTTGGGCCTGTAAATTAAAGTACAGCAAACATTTAAACACTAGCCACAGTGATAGAACACAGTGCAAAATTTGAGTTGCTCAAGGCCTTGGAGAGGACATGCTCTTTATTCAAAACAATTTTCAAATTTCTGATTTCATTGTGTGTGTGTGTGTGTGTGTGTGTGTGTGTGTGCATGTGTGGTACTGGGGATCAAACCCAGGACTCTGTGCATGCTGACCATATGTTTTACCACCAAGCTGCACCCCCAGCCCATTAACTCATTCTAAAAGCTGCTAATGAGTTAATTGTTATGCAGTGCATAATTTAACGCAAAGGCTTAGAGGTCAGAGGTCTGGCTACCTGGTCTACACTTTGACTGTATCACCATCTCATCCCGTGCTTCTGGGAGAGAACCTCCACCTGCCTGGGCCACATGCACTGCCTCTCTGTCATGGGGACAGTAGCAGTCTTGAACTCACATGGCTTTTGGGAGGAGAGATGAGGTCATCTATATGAAAGGCTTATCAGTGCCTGGACAGCCTGAAGCACTGGGGAACCCTAAGCGACTGGCACATTTGAAACCTCTGCCTACTTTCTGGATCTGAAGCTAGTGATTGATATGGATGACACAAGCCCAAGGGAACAGACAAAGGCAGGCAGCCTTTTCCACATAGTCTTTGATATCACTGTAATCTAGAACTCAACTTTATCAACTGCGATTAGAAAAGATTTGGGGGAAAGAAATCCATCAGTGCTGTCTGCTGGGCTCAAAACTCTGTGGCCTGGGACAGACAAGGTCAGTGGTGCAGCAGCAGCCTAGATATGTGAGGAGTTCAGCAGTTAAAAATGCTTCCTGTTCTTCCAAAGGACCCACGTTTCATTCACAAGCACCCATGTTGTGCCACTCACAATTGCCTGTAAGTCCAGCTCCAGGGGATCCAGTGCCCTTTTCTGGCCTCCTCAGGTACCTGTACTTATGTACACATACCCTACCTCCACACACATATGTGCATAATTGAAAATAAAAGAGATCTTTAAAAACTAGGACATGTGAATGAAAGTCGGGGTCAGGGAAGAGGGTACTGACAGGCAGAAAAAACAAAAGGCAAATTGTGTGCGGTCTAGAACAATTCTGGCTTCAGAGGTGGATCAGGGTACCTCCACCACAGAGTAGACTTCAGTTTTCAAGAAGAGGTGAAGACAGCAAGTTGCACTAATGTTCTACAGAATTTTGACTGGACTTTTCTTAGCTAAAATGTTATCTTTACAACAAAGATAAGGGAGAAGATGTACTTATTAAAAGATACACACAGCTGGGCATGGTTGGGCTTGCCTGTAAACTCAGCACTTGAGAGGCCGAGGCAGAAGGATTGAGAGTTCAAAGTCAGCCTGGGCTATCCAGTGAGACCCTGTCTCAGTTAAGCAAGGGTTAAGGATATTGCTGAGTGGTAGACTGCTTGTCTTGTATGCACAAGGCCCTGGGTTTGATTCCCTAGTATCTCAAAACAAACAAACAAACAAACTCCAAAACAAAACAATAACAATAACAAACCCCCTAGAGTATAACAGGAGAATATTTTATAAACATAAATAAATTTGAAAAGCATTATATGGAGCTAACATTTTCAGGATTAAAAAAACTACTGCATGTTGAGAGCTGTAGTTAAAAGACTATGGAAACCATTTAAAACTTTATTTGTATAATACCAAGATTGTTGGAAATTAACAGTATTTTCAAAATAAATTCTAAACACACAGTCTATAATAAAATGATATGGCCCAGCACTCAGGAGGCAGAGGCAGGCAGATCTCTGTGAGTTTGAGGCCAGCCTGGTCTACATAGTGAGTTCCAGGACAGCTGGGGCTACAGGGAGACCCTGTCTCAAAAAGACCAAAACAAAAAACAAAAACAAAAACAAAAAAAAAAAAAGAAAAAAGAGATATGGGTCACAAGGTCTTGGTTTAGTCTTCAGAATTAAGAATCAAACCCTCTTTCTCCATTTTAACTGGGTTTTAAGAATAGCCAAAGAGCATCCATCCCTTCTACTATCTTACTATCTCTTCCAGTTTTTTTTTTTTTTTTTTTCTGGGTTGCTTCTAACACTTCAACAAAGCTAATAGCATTGCTTAGATTCTGTGCTCCAGAGGCTGGTGAGGTAGAGTACGAAAATGGAGGGTAGAAGAGGTGGCTTGGCGGGGGAACCATTTGTATAACAAGAAGATTGTCTCTAGTCTTTATTGGAAGAATGAGGAAAATAAGTTTCAAGAAATTCCAGAAGGCAGTAGTTGCCTATGTGAAGTGCACAGGGGAGTCAGAGCTGGGACTTTTTGTTCATGAGAACTGAGTCAAATATTCCTTAAATACAGGCTGAACACTGTGCTGAGTCTTGAGTCCTGCAATGCAGGAAGGGAGGCGGTTCCCATGGTAGAAGCGTTGCCATGTGTGGGGAAAGATGGTGACCAGAACAAGAGGATAAGATGGGACTGGGGGGGGGGGACTTTGAATGCCCTGTTAAGGAGCTGGGCTTTATTTTCTGCAAGGAAGGTTCACAATTTCAGTGTTTTAGAGATGGTGAGTCTCAGACTTCCAGCTTAGGCAGATGTAGGTTAGAACCTAGCACCTGTGTTTAAAGAAGCTCCCCTAAGCCTATTGGAAAATCACTAGTCTAGACCAGGCAGCGCCAACCTACTAACAGGCACACCCTACCCCACTTAAAAGTATTTTGAGAAGCGCTGAGTGCGGTGGAGGCAGAGGCAGGTGGATCTCAGAGATCTACCGTGAGATCAAGGCCAGCCTGCTTTACATATCGAGTTCCAGCCTAGGCTATAGGGAGACCCCGTCGGAAAAAAACAGAACAAAAAAAACTTTTGAGTATTTATCCCTCTGACATATGTATAACTATTTATAAACTATTATAAATATAAACTATTTAACGTGTACTATTATAAACATTATTAAACCTACACAAAATATAAAGTGAATGAAAAGTTTGATCATTTCAAGAAAGAAACTCGTTACTCAGTTACTCAAATCCCAGTGGATTTGTCTTGGCTGTGATTATTAAATGGTGATGCTTCTATTATCATCCATATTCCTTCTTGTAAAAGCTTTTTAGGCGTGACAAAAGTAATTTCCATCCTTTCTGAAGTCACTCACTCATGTAGGACAGTTAACTAGAACTAACACTTGGAATAAGTAGGTTTCAAACTCACTGTAGCTCTTGAACAGGATGATATTTAACATGGAAAAATATGTCATCAAGTTTTAAAAGCATGCGGACTTATTTTTATTTCCCATAGTGTTATAAACTGAACCAGGACCTGGTACACACTAAGCAAACGCTCTACCGCTGAAGTGCACCCCTAGCGCATTATTATTTACATAAAACCATTTTACCAGAGGGCAGGAGGAGGGGAAGGACGAGAACACAGTGGAGTGACACTTGTTTAAGGAGGTGCCAGGATGAAACTCAGCGCTCTGTATGCTAGCCTAAAAAATTAGTAAAAAGTACTCCATTGAGGTCTGATCGACAGATAAAGAGCTGTATATACTTAATACATAAATCTGGAGGAATCTGGAGGATACCCACTTACTGTGCCATCACCACCATCAATGCCATGTACATATTCAAAACCTCCCAAAGTCTCTTAGAAAATTGCTCTGTGCTGTGTGGTAGACCTCCAGAACTCATTTTGTACCTAACACATTTCTGTATAGCCATCACCCCAATTCCTTCTTCATCACCCCATTTCCTCGTTCTTCCAGCCTGACATCTGCCTCTACTTCCATGAGTTCGCTTGCTTTAGATCCCACATACTAGTGAGATCTACAGCATTTGTTTAATAAGAGCTATCATTATTGGCAACAGTTACCAGAAACATTGCAAAGTGTTTTACAAATACTATCTTCATAGCAATAATACCCCCCAAACTGGTTCTACTGTCATTATTTTACGATCACTCATTACTTAAAGGAGGAATATGTATGCTTAATATTTTAGAGGCATCTGGGGTCTTACAAAGTGCTGACCATAAGGTCGTAAGTTTGGAATGCTTATTTTGCAAAAAATGAAAACACATACCACCACTTACAGGCATTTTCCCACATGAGCCTCATGATGGGACCAAGATCTTCAAGATCATTCACTATTTACTTATGAGCATTGCAAACATACTAGAATATGTTGACTCTCATCTTTATGAAATAAATTGAGTAACTCCTTAGCTCACTGTGTAAACCTGGCTGGAACTTGTTTGCTACCGTAACTTTCCTATAAATAACTCAGTGAATGGATTTTATCTGTGGCTTTCCTGTAACTATTTGTGGGCTATTTTATTTATTTCAAAGCAGTGTTGGTTCCAGTGGTGGGAATTTATAGTTTGGGCATAAATCTTTGTTCATATTAACTCATTTACTAGTAGAACTGAAACTTATAAATTGTTTATAACAAATATATAACTTAGTAGGATTGTATTTATCTGGTATATATTTATGGATTTATCGAGAGTAGACTGGAGAAACTTTATTGATTATTCTCTCTTAGCACTTTCAAGACGCCTTTCAGACTACATTTGTTGCCTGCATGAAGCGGGCTGTGCTTCTAACCTCTGTTCTACAGGAAGTCTGTCCTTGCCCCCTCTGATTTTTAAAGACTTTTTCTTATCAATGGTTGGGTTTACTAAGGTGTACTGATTTCTCTTGCCTGAGATTTGTGACTTGTGAATTTAGGGATTTTGGTTTTAAAGATTTATGGGAAATTCCCGAGTCTTTCCTCATGCATTATTCTCTCCACATCGTCCACTAACACTCTCAGTAGACACAGATTGGACTTTCTTATTCTATTCAAATCATAGTTTTCATTTAGACCCTTCTGAATTCTCTTTTGGTAGCATTTAATAATTTGATATTTAGTTCATGTAATTAAAACACATTTGATGCACTTGGGAGGCAGAGGCAGGTAGATCTCTGTGAGTTCTAGGCCAGCCTGGTCTACATAGTGAGTTTCAGGTTAGCTGGGGCTACAGGGAGACCCTGTCTCAAGAAGACAAAACCAAACCAAATCCACATTTGAGTCAAGTTCTTAGTGTGCAGCTCAATGGGCCCCCTTGTAGCTGTCCCCACACCTCTGCCTAGTAAGTTAAACTCTCTATGATTATGTTTTGTACTTAAAAAAATCTCTATTTGGATTTATTCATGACTGCATGTTCTCTTTTATTATAATTTTTACTTTTAAGTTTGCTTAATGCTTGTAAACACACTGATTAGATGGTTTCTTACTATTATTATCTACAATTATTAAAACTTCTCTCACTTATGGTGGCCCATCAACTCCCATGGCTGAGATTTTAGTGGAAGCTTGTTTCCTGGTGGTTATTGTTCTCAATGTGAGGGCATGAATGTTTATGGATAGTTCCCTCTAAATATATTGTAACTGCACCTGCTAGGCTTTATAGGTTCTGTAGTCTAGAGCCAGCCTCCGTTTACTACTTTCAGGATTCTCTCATTTAAGGCACTTAAGTTCACATCTACATCTGTGTGTAGCATAAACCCTGGCTCTGATTTTTCGAGAGAAGACTTCGATTTTCCCACAGAAGATGCTGCAAGGATGCACTTTCTTTCTGCTTTCTCCAGATGACCAGGAGTTTTTCTATTCCTCACTAAACAGGGAAGGTGACACTCGTTAGCTTCCATCTTTACATGAGTGCTTCAGTCTGGCTTATTGTTTTTCATGGGTCATATAGCCTATTTCTTACCCCTTCACAGAAATTCAAACACTGGTCCCAAGTTATGAGACCCCCAAATCTCTGTGTGGCTGAGGCTTCATTTGTAGAACTAGATTCCTTCTTCAAGTTAGAGTCTCAGTTTCATTTTATGAGCATTTTTTTTGTTTACAGTTCTTTTATTTTATACAGCATTCATGCATACTTATAGCCAGGTTGAAGTCTCATTAGATCTCATGCCATGCTGCTAGAAACTGAAGCCCACTGTTTAACAGTGATAGTGGGGGGCAATAGCTTATTTAGAAAAAAATAAAGAGCTTCCTTGTCAAAACAAGAGTAAATAAAATTCAAAGGATTCATCCCCATTCTCACACTGATGAGGAAAGGAGCGCAGGGCAGCAAAGAGCTGCTGGACCAGACACTTAATACCAACACAGCGCTGCTCTCCAGTTCCCTCTCCCCTTCCTCCCTCCCTTTCTCTGCCTCTCTCTCACCTTGCCTCTGGCCTTCCTTCCTTTCTTTCTTCCTAGAACACTAGTACAGATCAAATCCACTGTGTTGAGACCTTTTGTAGCTAAAGCGTCCATTCATTGGATACCAGGACAATTTTGGAACTCTTGAATATGAGCTAACCCAACAGCCATTGAGGCAGCGGAAGCCAAGAGAATGTAGGTCCAGTCTCAACACACCATCTCTGTCATTAAACACCTAAAACATCTGCAGGAAGGGGCTTTCTTCACTCGGTTTGTGAAGAGTTGGCTTTGCTTTATGTGGATACTATGAAAAATCGAATTTCTTTGTGAAACAATTATGCATATTTTATAAAGATGCAGTTGGGACCTTAAATTATTTTTTCCCCCTGAAGCTCTAACTATAACTATAAAAATCAACTACAGTGACAACTATTTATGCCACATCCTATAATCACAATGAAAACCAACCAAAACCCCATAGAAACCCAGTGACAAATATTGTCATCTTTGGGCACTTCCTTTTCATTCATATCTGATACACCATCCAGTCTTTCAAGTCTGTCTTTGCCACCTATATTATCAGAAGCAGCTTTCATTTCTCTCAAAGCCAGATGCCCCAGTGAAGTATTGCTTTGTTAAGAAAAGTCAACAAACCATAAAGCGACACAGTGACTGACTCAGAACTTCAAAAGGCTTGGTTTCGTGCAATGTAACACATCTTGGCACCATCACAAAGGCAGCAGTCATCCGTGAAAATAAAACAGAAACCTGTTCTTTTAACAGTGTCAGATAGACCAGCACTTGAACAGGTGAAAGAAAGTAGACAAAAGTCAGTACTTTCTGGGAGCCCAGGAAACAAATGTTAGAGCCAATTTTTACACCGCCACACAGCTTTCAGATGGTGTCAGCATCTAGAGCCTCCTGAGTAGACCTTACTGGAATTTCATTGCGGCATATATATGTTTACTGCTGCTGACCCGTTCACGTTCACACCACTGTTTAGTAAGCATGTTCTATGTGCCAGATGGACTATGCTAAATTCTTCAAATGCCCTATTTTATCCAGTGCTCCCAAGAAGCTCAAGAGAAAGTATATTCCCACTGTGTAGGCAAGGAAACCAAAGCCCAGAGGCATTAAAAACCTTACTTAAGGCCATCAGTGCATGAGACAGGGTTAAGAGTCAACTCTTTGTTGTCTTATGCCAAAGCCCATACTCTTACCTTTGACCCATGGAACTGCCCACTGGGTATCTGATTAGGTCCAATACTGAACTCTAATCACAAGGCTTTGTTATAAGGTGATTTTTTGTCCTTTAAGGGTTACTTACCTAAATAATCTGAGATAATCTGCAAGCTTAGGGATATCAGTAATGTCCTTCTAAGGAAAAAAATGTAACAATTACTAGCAGGAACCTCATACATGGTACTGAAACTCTACACTGGTGTCACTCAACGTGGCAGGCACTTGTCACATGCAACCTTTACTTCTGAGTTAGTTCAAATAAAATAAATAAAAAAGACTGTGTTCCTTAGTCACAGGAGCCACAAGAGTTACCTCTCGGGGAGGGGAGGGTTGAGAGCTGAATGGGGAGCATTCAGGGACTTTGGGGGGCAGAGTTCTGCTTCTTGATTTTGGATGGTGACTTAGATGACAGTAGTAATCTGTTAATGTGTATGGGTATGTTTTTCACTTTTCTGTGTCAGGGCAAAAATGTAAAAAGAGAGCGATGAAAACAATTGACGAGCACTTTTTGTATCTGCCCATTACTCAAGTTAAGAATTTGAGTTAGAAATGACTTACATAGGAGCAAGATTTTTGTAATTTTTACATTAAGTGGGTTGTTCTAGTTATATCTGGGTCACTGATTAAACTCAAAAGGAAACTGGTTCAAAGTTCATCTGTAATGTTGGTTAATGGTGGTTACAAACTGACACACCTACTGTTTAGGGTCACATAAAAGTACTGAGGAAGAAAGAGGGCATTTTTAATTTATTCCAAGAAGGACTGCTTTTCTGTTACAGGTACTCAAGGTAGGAGGTACACGAAAGAGAGCGCCAGTGTCATGGAGCCTTTGTCTGTGCTGCAGCTTGACACATTTCCTAGAATCCTGGCATTTAGATTGTAGTAAGTATTTGTTCTTTCAGAAAACCAATGTTCTGTTTTAAAGCATTTAATGATGAGAGCACACGGTGAATGTATAAGATATAGAGATTCATTCTAATCGCCATTACTATTTAGATCCAGTTTCAGTGAACCCACCACTCTGATTTAATGTGATTAAACCAAAGATTACTCCCTTGATTGACGAAGTTAAATAGAGCAGTGGCACTCAATGAAAGAATCAAATAAAAAAGGCAATCCAAAGGCAAGGGTGAGGGTGATAAACCAGCTTTCTTATGTTTTACTGGAGGGTTTTATTTCCTGAAATCAAAACTGTTTAGGAATGCTTGATCATGTCTTAGAGAAAGACCATCCTCTTCTGGCTTTACCCAGTGGAAACGTATGAAAAGCAAACAAGGCTTTCTACCCACAAGTGTCTCCTCCACCCTCACAGCTGCCCCATGCCAAAGGCAGGGGCTTCTTTCTCCACATTCCACGCTAGTGAAGTGGAGCCCATAACACTCTTCCCCACACACTATGCCAAGAGATCCCCAGGAAGAAACACAATGCAAAAAAGCTTGTCGTGGGTGGGTAGTGAAATTATGTTTTAGTGTCTTTCAGAGCTAACCTGAGAAAAGCCAGTTCATTTTTAGCAATTTAAGCTTGCATATGAACAGTCTGTTTTTGTTTTTGGAAGACATATTCTCTTAGTTCTAATCTTTAAGTTTGTCTGTATTTGCCTGTGTCAGAACAGATTCTGAATGAACAGAAGCGCTCATACCAAAGTGCTGTCTGCCTTCCCGCCTTCCAGCGTCACTTCCAGATCCGACAGAGCCGCTTCCACTTCATCAACTTCCGCCTTGGCCGGAAGAGCCTGGTTTTCAGCAGACAGTGACAGCTTGCTGATGTGATACTAAAATGGAAGCAGAGGTTTGACTTTTATTTAGTTATTTAATTTTAACTTTAGTATTTAAAAATAATTTATTTTTATTTTATTTTATGTGCGTGTTTTGCCTGCATGCATGTAAGCGCACCTTGTCGGTGTAATGCCCACAGAGGCCAGAGCCTTAACCACTGAGCCATCTCTCCAGCCCTACCTCCTCCTTAATTAAATTTTTTTTTTTTTTTTTTTGTGACAAGATCTTGCTAAATTGCTCAGGCTAGTCTCAGACTTGATAGGTACTCCAGGCTGGCCTTGACCTTTCCTGCCTCCGTCTTCCAAATGCTGGGATTACAGGTATGCACTACCACACCTGGCTCAAAACAGAGGTTTTAGAAGCGTTACAGACACAAAAGGACCATTAACCATTTCTTCTGTGGAGACATCTAATTGGACACATTCTGATTTACAGTTAGCTGTGCTCAAACTTGCTTCTTCCAAATGTGGTAGGCAAGTGCTTGGAACCGGGAAACGAATGCCTTACACGTGTGTGCATGTGTGGGTTGTGAGGAGCATTCTACAATTACTCTGTTTCCTTTTTTTCATCAAAGAAATGAAAGACTGCTTTAACACACTTATTTCTCTCCAGGGAAAAGGAACCCACATCTCCACACCTGTAACGCCGCAAAGATCAACATTTCTTCTTCTGTGCAGTCGATTTCTTCCAAAAGAACAGCCCACCTGGCTTGCTCGTAGAGTTGGTTTATTCGAACAGCATCATACTAGAGAAAGAAACAGACGCGTGTATGTGTTTGGGGGCTTTTTATCATTCCACGATACAAAAATTCTTGAACTGAGACTATTCTCTGTGAATCACATGCTCCAATTCTAGCTCAGGTAACAGAAAGGAAGACCCTGCCTTTCTGGTGCCCCACTCTTCAGACTTCTGGGTTCAGAAGGAGCTTTCCCAAAATATTTTCTGAGTTTCTTCAGGTGGCCAAATGAATCCATTTTAGATTCCATTATTCCCCCCACTTTTTTCCCCCAGTCACATTTCTATTGAAAGCAAAACACTACATGACAGGAGTGACTGGTGAAGCTGCTCTTCAAACTCTTCAGTTAAAGTAGAAGGAATAAAGTTCAAGTATTAGCAAAACAACTTTAAAAAAGAACAATGCTGAGGGAGGCACTTACAACGGTGTGGTGTCGGTGTATGGCGACAGTCGGTAAAACAACATCTAGAAACAGATCGATGCGTGTGTACAAGGTGTGTATGTGGATTTAATACAAAGTGAAAATGTCATTTATATTAAAATAATTATGTTTTATGTGTGTGTTTGGCATGCATGTTTATATGTATGAGCAATGAACTATTATGTATAGCACACACATACAATGAAATAAAAAAATGCTGCATGCTGTGTAATTTTACTTACAGGTAATTTTCAAAAGAGGCAAATTCATTTTTTTTTTTTTTTTAAAAGATAGGGTCTCATGTATCTTGGGATGGCTTTGAACTTGCCATGAAGCTGAGGGTGACTTTGAACTTCTGACTCTCCTGCTCCCACCTCCTGAGTGTGAGTGCTTAGGATTACAGGCATGTATCACCATATCCAGTTTTAAGTGGTACAGGGGATTGAACCCAGTCCCAGGCAAGCACTGAATGACTTCCCCAGCCAGAATAGGCAAATCCATCAAGAAAGTGGATTGTTGCTTACCTGGGTTGGAGGATTGGGGGGCAGCTAATAGAGTGTGGGGGTTTTTATGGGTTGGTGAAATGTTCTGAATATTGACAGCAGTTGTGATTGAACAATTCTGTGAACTCATAAAGAACCCACTGAAATGTGCACATTAGTGGGTGAGTGTACGGCAGGTAAATTTGGAATGGGGGGGGTTGCTCTTCTCCTCCCCTCCTCTTCCCCCTCCCCTTCCTGCTCTTCTTCTTTCTCTCTTTGGTGCTGGGGATTGAACCCAGGACTGGGAACATGTTAAGCATGAGTTCTCCTGCTGAGTCATGCCCCCTGTCCTGGGAAGGCTGTTCTATCCAAGACAAGATGCTTAAAAGTTATGATGTGCTGGGTGTGGTGGCGCATGCCTTTAATCCCAGCACTTGGGAGGCAGAGGCAGGCAGATCTCTGTGAATTCCAGACCAGCCTGGTCTACAGAGTGAGCTTCAGGCCAGCTGAGGGCTACGGGGAGACCCTGTCTCAAAAGACCAAAAGGAAAAAAAAAAGTTATGATGTATCAATTGACAACCTAAAATTAAACATTTGCAATGAAAAACAACCAAAAAAGAGTATATGTTTATAAGATATAGATTGAAAGAAAACATTTTCAATAAATAGAAAATATGGGGCTGGAGAGATGACTCAGCAGTTAAAAGTACTGGCTGCTCTTGCAGAGGACCTGGGTTCGGCTAGTACCCACATGGCAGCTAACAACCATCCATAACTCCAGTTCCAGAGGATCTGACGTTTTCCTCTGACCTCCGTGGCCATTGCACGATTCGGGCGCACTTATGTACATGCAGGCAATGTATACATAAAATAAAAATAATAAATAGAAAAGATAATATCCATCATATACAAACTGTTCCTATAAATGAACACAAAAGTACAATCAGCAGGATCTGGCACAAACGTAAATAGGCATTCCACAGAGGAAACCAAATAACCAGTTACACATTGGAAAAGATGCTCAACATCATTAATAGTGAGAGACTTCAAATTAAGATGACATCGTTCCTGTCAGATTTTCCCAAATTGATGTTGATAACATTTGATGTTGGTGAGGACATGGAGCAATTGGTGCTTTGCAGGTGTGGGTATAAGAAAGTGGCTTAGATGCATCTCTTAAAATCCCTTTGCCCTCAGATGAGCACACCTAGAAAGAAATGCAAGCCCTCAACAGACACTTACACACTGGTCTGTGGGTTAGCTTTTCTTTTATGTCTCAGTTGATAAAAGAGTGAAATGGATTTAGCCTCCTCATCTGGTAGACACCCACAGTGCATTACAAAGTAAAATGTGCAAGTTACAGAGGACATGAAAGATCTAACTTACACAGGCAATACAAGATTTAGGAAACCTAGTAAAAAAATAGGTGAATAAATATGTGTGGAAAATCTTTAAGGATAGACAGCCACGAGGTGGTTGGGCGTACTCCTCAAAGGAGAAAGGCCAAGGTGAGGAAGATTGTTCATTTCTGTCTTCTTCTGAGGTGAGTTTACTGTGTATATTTAAGTAATGAAATGGCAGCACATCTGTCATCTCACAGTTGTGTGTGTGTGTGTGTGTATGAAAAGAATAGCTATTTTATCAAAATCTTAATTTAACAAAATCCTATAGGACATATACCACATTACTGAGGTCCTCACACTGTATGACTTATCCTAGATATCTGCTACTTTCTACCCTTTGTTTGACCTGCATCTCTTAATTTCCCATCTACTCTGCTTGCTATAACTTGAGCAATAAAGGTTTTTTCTCTTTTGGATTCTACGTGTAAGTGAACTTCACAATCTTTTTCTCTGTGTGTGTCTGCTCTATTTACTTAGCACTTGTGTCTTCCAGACTTAACAATGTGGCAAACGGTAAGATCTCTGTTAAGGTCATTCATATATACGTACGTGAAACACTCTAGAATCTTTATCCATCCGGGCAAAACCCCACTTCTATATTTTGTCACAATTAAGGTTATTTTTTAAATCAAGTTTAAAAAGTGATTACTTAGAATAAAAGTTGGGTTTTGGCAACATTGATCCTAACCATTTAAAATGTACAGTTCAGTGGCATCTTTACATTGTTGCATAACTGCCACCATCCTCCATCTCCCAAACGCCTTTCATCTAAGATTCTGTTCCCATTAGTTATAGTTTCTATGGTAAGTTATGTTTTGTTTTTAGAAAGCCTTTTCTAATTGTTTTTGTGTGTTGTGTGTGGTGTCTGTCTGTGTGGTGTACATGCATGTTGCAGGTGTGCTCAAGGAGGCCAGGGGATAGTGTTGGTGCCACTTGTCACTCTCTGCCTTGTTTTTTCAAGGCATAGCCTCTTCCCAAACCCAGAGTTCCTGGTTTTGCAGGCTGCCTGGCATCCAGCGAGTCCCAATGATCCTTCTGTCCCAGCCACAGTGCTGGGGTTACAGGCACACGTAACTTGTTACTTGGGTCCTGGGATCTGAACTCAGGTCCTTATGGTTGTGTGTCCTGAAACTGGAGCTGGTGCCTAGCAGGGCTCTTTATAGATAGATGCTCCCCTTTTCTTTCCCTTTAAAGAAACTTTATTATTTATTTAGTTTTATGTGTATGATTGTTTTGCCTGCATGTATGAGAGTATACCCATATTGTGCAGTGCCTGTGGAGGTCAAAAGAGGGTGCTGGATCCCCTGGAACAGAAGTTACAGGTGGTTGCTAGCTGCCATGTGTGTGCTGGAAACCAAATCCAGGTCCTCTGGAAGAGCAACCAGTGCTCTTAACTGCTGAGCCATCTCTCCAGCCCCCAGATGACTCCCTTCTAAAACTGCAGTGAGGAGTCTTGTGCACTTACCTCATGGTTCCGCTTGCTTGTAAGAAGCTGCTCTTAACCTGGCCTCAGCCTCTGGCCTCCTAAGGCATTAAGGGTTGTGGCTCTATGTGCCACTTGTCATGTCTCTTTACCCCTGTGAATGCAGACAGGCAGTGCACACCATGTTGTGCACATCAGGAGACTCCTGCTAACTCGGGGGCCACTTAGCATGCCCACTGGGAAACAAAGAATGAAGGTTCAGAGCTCAGTATACCTGTATCAGTCTAACCTGCAGTGACCAGGAGACTTCACAAATCAATCCTAATCTTGATAATGAAATGACTTAGTTTTACACTTCCATGCATTCACATTACAAAAGAAAAAAAAATAAAAGAAAAAACATCTTACTTGAGGATTCAAGTCGAAGAAAGTATAGTATTTAAATCGTAACAGCAACTGGTCATCCTCTTGGATGCCTTGTTCCATAAGAGAGCGTGAGGAATCCAGCCAGCTAGGAAACATAGTTGGAATTTAAACATTAGTTGGTTTTGCCTACATACCCATTGTATTGTATGCATATATATTGCATACATCCTTGAACACAGACAGGGTAAGCAATATCAACAAAACCAGTAATCACATTGTGTTGGATAGCTTTAGTGTCAACTTGACACACCTGGGTTGAGGGAGCCTTAATTGGGGAATTGCCTCCATTGGACCGGCCTGTGGCCATGTCTGTGGGGCACCTTCTTGATTGTTGAGTGATGTGGGAGGGCCCAGCCCACTGTGGGTGGTGCCATCCCCGGGCAGGTGGGCCTGTGTTGCATAAGAAAGCAGGCTGAGCAGGGGTCAGGGGAGCAAGCCAGTAAGCAGCATTCCTCCATGGCCTGTGCTCCAGCTCCTGACTCCTGGTTCCTGCCCTGAGTTCCTACCTTGGGCTCCCTGATGAACTGTGACCCAGGAGATATAAGCTGAATAAACCCTTTCCTCCCCAAGTTGGTAGTGGTCAGAGTGTTTTGTCACAGCAATGGAGAAACAAAATAGGACACACATAATAGCTTAGATTTGCACTTTACCTTACAGTTTAATAAAATACTAAAAAGTATTTTATTTATTTTTATTTTATGTGTATGAGTGTTTTGCCTCATGTACATAAGTGTACCACATGTGTTTGGTGCCTGCAGAGGCCAGAAGAGGGAGCTGGAGTTACAGACAGATGTTAGCTGCCCTTTGGCTTCTGGGAACCAAATATGGGTCCTCTGCAAGAGCACTGTGCTTAACTGCTGAGCCATCTCTTCAGTTCCTACCTTATAGTTTTTAAAATAAGAAGAATTCTCATTGACACACACAATTTACAGGAGCCAGGGAAGTTATTATTTAGGGCTCCTCCTTCTCCTTCCCCCTCTCCCTCCTCCCCTCCTCCTCCCCTTTCCCCTCCCTCCTCCTCCTTCTCCCTCTCTTTCTCTCCTCCTCCTCCTCTTCCCCCTCCTCCTCCTCCTCCTCCTCCTCCTCCTCTTGCTCCATCTTTCTGAGACAGGGTCTTGCTATGTAGTCTAAGCTGGCTTTGAACACATGACCTTCCTGCCTCATCTTCCTGAGTGCTGGGATTATAGGCATGGACCACCATGCCTGGTGTACCACAGTGTAATAGGTTAAGTGACTGAGTCTCAGTGACATTACATGATTTATTCAAGGTCACAGTTCCATGGTAGAGCCAGTAGGCAAGTCTGTGCCTCTGACTGGACTGCTGGTCTGCTGTAGTTCAGCCCAACGTTGGGTCTATTTTAGCAACATGACTTGTCATCCACAAAGTTCACAACTGAGAACAGCAAAATGGAGTTTAAAAACAATTTTGTTTTTGTTTTGTTTTTTTGAGACAGGGTCTCCCTGTAGCCCCAGCTGTCCTGGAACTCACTATGTAGACCAGGCTGGCCTCGAACTCACAAAGATCCACCTGCCTCTGCCTCCCAAGTGCTGGGATTAAAGGTGTGTGACACCACGCCCGGCCCAAAATGTTTTTTCTTATTTTTTAAAAAAAAAATTTCATAATTTTAAGTAAGTTTATAATTTTGAATTGAGATGCACTGGTAGCTATCTTGGGCACATGTGGGTCATGGGTGGTGGGTTGTACATGTTTAGTAGAGCTTTCTGCATTGGGAGAAATAGTCATGTCTGTGCTGTGTAATGCACTGACCTCTAGCCAGATGTGGTTACTGCATATTTAAATGTGGGTAATGTCACACCTTAATTTTCATTAAAGAGAAGCCGTGTTCTACAAAAGAAAACATGAGCTAGGTCAACCACTTTCAATGTCCCCAACTGGCTCATGGAGGCTACCGTGCTTATAATCAGCTCTATATCTCCAAATATGTTTGCACACCTGTAGCAGTAAAGAGTTACACTCTTGTATGGTAAGCCACTGAGTTTTCTGAAGACACCGAAATTATACACTTTTAAGGTACTGAGATGGTCATAGGCTTTATGTTGTACTTTACCCTTTTTTTCTGTTAAAGTCAGCACTCTGAGCTTTGTTAAGGAAGCACAATCTCCAGGTCTATTAATTCAAAAGTTAAACAGTCTCCGTCTCTTTGACATTTCTTGCTATATGAGCGCTGGTTCAGAAAGGAGCAAGAGCCTCATCCTTACCCAGCATTCAGTTTGGCTTTATCGATCAGAGATCGAGGCTGGAACATATCAGCGAGCACATCTGGTGATGGGGGAGGTTGGCTGAAGGCCAGGATGCTGCAGTTTTGCTCTGTCAAAGGACTGTCACTGAACCAGGTCATGGTGGATGAAACTGGTGTCCCGTTGACAGGGTCATATGTGGGCGTCATGGTCTTACTATACAAGCCAGGATTTACTAGGAGGCAAGGAGAGAGGCACTTTGACAGGAGATTCAGGTTAGAAATCTTTAGAAGAAGTACATGTCTTCTACTAAAATGAGTTTAAATGTACCAAGAGTCAGGGAGATCAGTTACATATAGGTAAAGATCTTGCCTGAATTTTCTACTCCTGGGAACCCAAAGATACCGAAGTTTTCAAGAATGAACAGAGATGAGTGTTGTTGAGCAATTCTTTTCTAACCATTCCAAGATCCCTTATTTCAGCAGAATGAAGTCGTCATGTGATTAGCCAACTGGAGGAAGCAAGTACAAACTACTTCAGGCAGTGAAGAGTAGCCTTTGCTACTTTTAATAACCCCACAAGTTGGATACCTGGCTCTACTTTGAACAAAGCACAAATTCCCTTTTTATTCTTTGGATTGGAATATACTACACAGGAAAGTCTTAGTGTTGGAAGAAAGCCAGAGACAATTTTTCTGATACAGGAAGAAAAGAATATACCTCTTGTAAAAATGAAATCACACAAAGACACACCAGGAAAAGTATATTTACATAATCCAACTTACCTCACTTCTAAATTTTACCTTTTTATTCTCAGCTTATGACCAGATGTACTAAAAATTCCTTTATGGGTTTAATCTATAGTCACAAGACGAAACCACAAACGTTACCTAGGGAACCTGAGCTTGCCGAGGAACTCTCCAGGCTTAGAACATCGTCAATAACGGGTTCCTTATTACTTTTGTCTTTCTTCTTTTTCTTCTTAAAATAGTCAGCAGAAGGCTTTAACAAGGAGACCTCTTCGGGTCTTCTAATATCTAAAATAAAACAAAGTAACAACTAATAAAGGCAAAAAATACAAAGATTCCTTTTGGGACTCAGAGCTGCACTGTGTGTCTGACCCATCTTAGGAAATAACAAATGGAGCCAAACACGTCGAATCTGAAGAAACAGAAAGGCGTGGAGACCCTTATGTTGATTGGGGGCAAGTAGTGGGCTGGGTCCGGACCCCACATCGTCTTTTCCTTGTGTGCCACAGACTCCGAAATCTTTCCCCCACACCCTGCCCAGCACTCCTCGCACCCTATGGCAGACACCCACATGGCCTGGCTATGCCGTCTCGGCCCTCATCATTTCAGTGTCTGCTAACCTGACTTCCAACAGTTTCAAGGGCACTGTGTCTCTGTTGATGGGCTTATGCAGGCTGCCGGCCAGGTTCTGCACTCCTCCCCACCCTCTAGGTCCACTGGCCAGGGGATTCACATTCCCCAAAAGGAGCCTTCAGTGGTACAGGAACCCTCACCCTGGTAGGGCAGCTCTGAGGCTGTGTCTACACTGTCTCCTAGGAGCTCCAGTTGCCCACAGTGTGGCACCCTTACTGAAGGGCCGCTCACAGTCTGCTCCCCCATACCACATGGCATTTCCTCCTATCATAATCAAAGTTCTGGACTCCTTGTCTCAAGGTCTGTTTCTGAAGAAATCAAGCAGAGATAAAGTATAACTGTTGATCAGAACTGCTCATAACCATGAACTCATTGAGTGATTTTAACTTAGGTAAAAGTCAAGGAATGTGGCTGCTTTAGGGTTCCTGGGCAGTTCACCTGGAAGTCATATCAGACCTCTCATCTGGTCAGTTCATGCAATGCTTAATGCTTAGAGGCCTGAGCAGGGCATCTTGACTCTCCCTAGTCACCTGGGATGTCTGACTGTCAGACTACAAAACACACCAGTGATCACCCCAAATGCATATTTCATCCACATCTGATGAAGAGTCAAATATTCCAGCATAAGCATTAAACATAAAAGCAAATAACAGAACGAAAGCCCTCTGCCTTAAGCCTTTTTTCTGTTCTTCAAGAGGAAAGCCACCATACTGCTAAACTCAACTTAGCATCATTTGATGAGATGTAAAAGCCACGATTAGCTGGGCGTGGTGGCTTATGCCTTTAGTCCCAGCACTCAGGAGGCAGAGTCAGGTGGATCATTGTGAGTTCCAGGCCAGCCTGGTCTACATAGTGAGTTCCAGGCCAGCTGGGGCTACAGGGAGACCCTGCCTCAAAAAAACAAAGAAACAAACAAAAAGCCATGATTAGTACTAAACGGAGCTCTTCACATGATGGTGAAGACATAGGAGACAAGAACTTCTGACTGGTGCAGCTTATCCCGAACCTCAAGCTCTTGGCTGTGATGTTCGTACCTAGTCTATTTGGGGTCTGACTGGACCATTATATTTAGTCACTTACTTAACTTTCAAATCCTCACTAGAGTACTACTAAAATGTGTTCTCCTGCTTCACGTGTGCCCACCGTGTGTCAGCACACTGCTGGAACTTGTGTTCTGCAATGGAATATTCCATGCATTGGTTCACTGATTAGTCACTGGGCAGCTGGAATGTGCTCGGTATTGTTATGCTGAAGCAATGGGCTCTGTCTTCACCCTGTTTCATGCCGTCATCGGTGCCCTTACTGTTCAACATGGTCATTCCTAGACCAACTGATACCTTCCCGCATTTTCTCTACCTCCTGTCCCCCTTTAACAGCTTATATGCTTTTCCTTATTTATTTCATGTGTTGGTTATCTGTCTCTCCCTGCTTCAAAAGGGGGATTTCAGTGGCCTTTATCACTGATGTCTCCCACCACCCACCACACTGCCTGCTTCACAACAGGGAGTATTTGTCCAAAGAGTAAACAAAGCAGTTTACGGAGGAGAGTGAACTCACTGATAACATAAAATGCTGACTTTGGCCTTGATACCAAAGAAGGCACCTATATGCTTCCAAAAAGTAGGGAATAAGAACACATTCATAGTCAAGAGTCCCTCTTTTTATGGGGGTCTCACAAAGAAAAAATGGTTTAAATGGCATTGTCTCTGTGGTGAGATGGTGATTCATCAACTGAGCATGGTGGCATATGCCTGTAATCTTAGTACTTCTGTGGGCTGAGACAGGAGGGTCATGAATTTGAGGCAAGCCTGGGCTACGTATAAGATCACGGCTAAAACAGAGAAAGGATATGATTTCTATTCACAATTAAATTCTCTCTGTCTGTCTGTCTGTCTCTCTATATGTGTTTGTATACATGCGTGTATGAGGGGAGGCCAAAGGACAAACTTGGGTATTGTGTCTCAGGAACCATCTACCTTTCTTTTGTGAGACTGAGTCTCTCACATGCGAGGGCATTGGGTAAGCTAGCTGGTCAGTGAGCCCTAGGGATCCACCTATCTTTGCTTCTAAAGTGCTGGGATTATAAGTGTGTGCTGAAGTTTTTAAAAACATGAGTTCTGGGGATGGAACTCAGGTCTTCATGCTTCCAAGGCAAACTTTACCGACTTTACCAACTAAGTTATTTCCCTACTCCATAAGCACTTTCATTAAGGGTAATTTTCTGCTTTAACTTCCTGGGTGGCTTTTGTCAATGGAATCATTCATCAGAGCCAGGCGTTAATGAAACAATCAAAGCAAGCAGTGCCATCGTTTTAAAGACTGACCAATGCATGAAGAATTCAACAAAACCCCTTTTCTGTTTGTCTTAAGTGAAACTCTGAGTATAGCTTGGAGAAAAGATTTGGTGAGGCAGTCTTAACAAGACCTCTTCTACTTACAAATCTCTTTTGAAACAATTTTACATTTGTGGAAATGAATCAGATTTATGCAAATGATGTTCCATTTCATTTCACTCCAGCTCCCCACACGGGGCTGGGAAGTTTGCTTCCTCATATAGTTCTCTAGCCAGTGCAGAGAGGATATGGAATTTTCTTGTGTTCCTCTGCCAAGAGTCTAAAGGGCACAGGGCCCTGTAGGGCACTCACTCAGGGTTTTGCAGATCTGGCCAACAGCCTTAAACACCACGGCCGAGAAGCTTACTCGCAGTCTCACGGTCTTCACGTTGGGCAGGCGAAGGCGAAGCATTTTATGCTGAGGGGTGAAGATGAGCTTGGCATCTGCCTGGACCCCACACTTGTCTAGGGTCCAGTGGGTTTTCAGAAGCCAGCAGTGCTTCTGCTCCCACCACAGAGCAAAGTCTGACCAGTCTTGGGCTAGGTCTGCAAAAATGGAAAGCACAGTTAAGCATATGAGAGGGAGCTGAGCATGGAAGTCCAGGCACCCCAGGGTCTGTTTCATGGCAAGTAAAAGCTGAAACAGACAGCTGACCTTTAGCTTACCATCTCTTTTTTATAGGTCAAGGCTTAGCAGTCTGTGGCTTCCCTCCATAGTCTCCCAGAAGGGGCAGGGAGCACACGGGTCTGAACCCCGCCCTCATTTACATATAAGTGCAATGAAAAAAATAGAAACAAAATTTTTGTTCATGATGAATGCTAAAATTATTTTTCCTAAAGTCCCTCTGTGCATCAATCTTAATTGTTTAATCCACCTTAATTCTCTTCTAAAATGAATCCTTACACCACTGGAGTAGCAATGGTCCACCCAGGCCACACAGAACTACTGTAAAGCTGACAGTTTGTGCTTCTTGGTAATGTCCCACTCTTCTAATAGTTTGTAAAAAATTATAATTTTTAAAATTATGTGTGTACATGTGCTTGTGACTGTAGGTACCCACAAAGGCCAGAGGTTTTGGATCTCCTGGAACTGGAGTTACAGGTGGTTGTGAGCCACCTGACGTGGGTTCTGGGACTCAAACTCCAGACCTCTGGAAGAGCAGGCCTGCTCTTCCCTGCTGTGCTGCCCCTCCAACCCTCGTCCAGCAGTTTTACACTCCTAGCTTCCAAAGCACCTGCACTGGCATCAGAGCTGCCTATCCCGTCCCTCTGAGCGCTGACATCAATGCAGTCTTCCCTTCCACATTAGTATCAAAGCTGGAACTTCCCTGCCAATGTTGAAGCCAATTTCTGTCTTTTATTTTGTTAAATAAAGAGATATCAATATTTTAATTAATTATTTAATTAATTATTTTGGACACAAAACAAAACATTATTGACTTCTAAGTCCATAAAGAAGAAAATGATCTGGATCTAGACTTCCCTTTCTTTGCTGGTGGGCAAGTGTGAAATGATGTATTAGCAGCAAACTGACTTTAGTATAAAGCAATCAAGAACTGACTCAGTCTAATGCCAGGTCCTCTATGAGCACTGTAAATGTCACTGGTAGAATGGGCCCTGACCTTCTGGGAGTATAGCATTCTACCTGCTTGAGACCTTTAGCAGGCCACCAAAGACTCAAGCTTTTACAAAGATAGTTGAATTCAGTTTAAGGCTCTAGCAGGGTCCCTTTTTCCTCCTCTTCCTGGAAGATACTACGGGTCAGGAGGAGGAGGAGTATGCTCTCTGGGCTATTCTGAGATGAACAATCAGAAAACTAGGGCTAGTCATGGAATAGTGACATAACAGACAGGGTTTGGAATGCAGAAACAGAGGAGAGAGTAACTTACTGATCTGTTCCACCAACTTGAGCATCACTCCCCCAACATGCAGATCTCCAGATACTTGCAACGTGATGTCTCTCTGCACCTCTTTATTCGGGTGGTCAACTCGGACCACGAGCTCCCAAGAAGCAGATGCAAAGTCACTGGATGACAGCATTGTGGCATACACAGGTATCTTCCAGAACAAAAGGCAGGCACAGGTCAGAATGGGAGAGGAGACTGGAATATGCCTGCAGGTCCTCAGAGAAAAATTGCTTTTGTTTTTATATTAATTTCCTCTTCAAAAATATTTTGCAGGGTTTCTGGTGCCCATATTAAAGTCAGCATCTTAATTGTATAGAAAGAAGTCTTAAAAATTAGTTCCCAGCTATCTAAAGTTGTGTATTTTCTTTCCATTTACCCACTCCGCTGAGAGCACTGGGGTAAGTATGTTCTTTTCCACACAATGCGTCAGTCTTTGGCTTCTCCTTCTAATAGTTTTTCTTGACTTTCTTGGAAGAATTTCAACAAAGGCAATAAACCATAGCGAGCCTCCACAGTACATTAAATAATCTCCATCTGCATTGAGATGTAATGTGTGTAATAAAGTGCACAGATTAAAAATTTTATTTATTATTTTTATTTTATGTGTATGAGTGTTATGCCTACATGTAGGTAAATGTACTTGTGTCGTGCAATGCCAGTGGAGGACAGAAGAGGCTGTTGGATCCCCTGGAACCGGAGTTACGGACAGTTGCTAGCTGCCATGTGGGTGCTGGGATTTGAACCTGGGTGTTCTGCAAGAATATTCAGTGTTCTTAATCACTGAGCCATCTCGCTAGCCCCAAAGTGCACAGATTTTAATGTATACAGTTCAATGTATTTTGTTGTATGCAAATTATGTCACGTATTTGATTTACTTAAGTTACTGATTTAGTTTTTTGGTGTTGGGTGTCTAATCTAGGGCCTATGTATGCTAGTCAAGTGATCTTACCACTGAGTTATACCTCCCAAACCAACTTATTGTTTTAGGACATATAAAAGTTGATTCATAAATTACATTAAGATTTTTTTAAAGAGTGTAAGGATTTCATCAGAGGAAAATACAACAGCTAAATGGATTGTGGTGAATTTAAAGGTGTTTCTCAAGAAAATAGGTGTTAATAAATGAAAGCTGTTTTCTTAGTTTTGAGATGCATGCTAAAATTTATATTAAAAACTTCTAACGGGCTGGAGAGATGGCTCAGGAGTTAAGAACACTGACTGTTCTTGCAGAAGACCCGGGTTTGAATCGCAGCACCCACACGACAGCTAACAACTGTCTGTAACTCCAGTTCTAGGGGATCCAAGAGCCTCTTCTGTCCTCCGGGGGCATTGCATGACACGGGTGCACATATGTACATGCAGGCATAACACTCATACACATAAAATAAAAAAAACAACAAAACTACAACAACAACAAAAAACTTCTAACAGTCGCTGGGCATGGTGACACACATCTTTAGTCCCAGGAGGCAGAGGTAGGCGGATTTCTGTGAGTTCAAGGTCAGCCTGGTCTACATAGTGAGTTCCGTGACTCTGTCTCAAAAAGACCAAAAACAAACAAAAAACCAAAACAAACAAACAAAAAGCCAAAACAAACAGCAATAACAAAAAACATAACCTTCTAACAGTTGAAAACGTTTTTTTGAGACACGGTCACTCTACAGCCTTCAACTTTCTTGCCTCAGCCCCCTGAGTGCTGGGACTACAGCCCAACATCCTGGGCTCTATTAAGTTTTTCGATACATTTTTGGTAAAGGATTTTAAAAAACAAAAGAACTTAATTTTTACAGTAGGGTAGGAAGTTCAAACCATGGTTTCCCCCTCAATGGAGGCACCAGGAAGTAAGTGGCATCAAAACTGAGGTGTCTGGGGGTGATGGGAACACCCAGATCCAAAGTAGGCAGAACTTAAATGAGACATGACATGTTGGCTCTTACTTTGAAATAGAAATGATACTGTTTCTGGGCTGCTTTAAAGATGTAAGATAAGTCATTTAAATGACTGTAGGGAATCCTTTTCACCTCACTGTGTAAGACAGATTATGAGAAACCCATGTTTTTCAAGGCCTATCTTGAGAAACCCAGTGCACTAACTCCTCAGGCAGTACTTCCTGACTGTGGGACCCTTCCTACAGGATTATAAGGAAAGGGTCCCTGCAGCTGGTATGGTGAGAAGCCAGAGACTGAGTCTCACCCAGGTCTGGAGGAGTTTGTGGCTCACAGTCTGAATTCCCAGGGCTCATGCCCCCTTCAGCCTACTGACCCAGTATGAAAATGGGACAACAGGGTCTTACTAGTAGACCAGGTGGGCCTCAAACACGGAGATCTGTCTGCCTTTGCCTGTCCAGTGTTGGGATTAAATTTGGGATTAAAGCCGTGCGCTATCACCCCCCAAAGAAAGAGCACCTTTTTTTGGGGGGGGTCTTTTGAAACAGGGTCTCCCTATAGCCCCAGCTGGCTTGGAACTCACTATGTAGACCAGGCTGGCCTCGAACTCACAGAGATCTGCCTGCCTCTGCCTCCCAAGTGCTGGGACTACAGGCATTAGCCACCATGCCCAGCTTGGAGCACCATTTTTATAATTACAAATACTTGAGCTAATAGTGCCCTGTCCCATTGTGTTCATTTGAAACCACACATTTGCAAGCAGTGACTGCTGCAGATCTGAGCCGGATTTGGACAAATTTGAGGTGTTTGAATAAAATTCAAGTGTTCAGAAGTGTTTTTTGTAACCCAGAGAACCCAGCGGATGCTGTGTCTTTGGCTCTCAACACAGAGGCCCTCAGGGCCACTTCTTGTGTGCTATGATTGGATGGGGCCTGTCTGCCTGCTTCCGGTATCATTAGCCTATTTCTGGTGATGTACTGGGAATTAGCTGCTGTCCCAGGGTCATCCCCTCCACTTTCTCACCAAACCCCTTTACAAATGAGGAAATTTGGACTGAAGTAGGTTGGACTCCTTGCATCACGTTAGAGATGGGAGCCCAGATACTAATCTATCCCTTTCTTACTCCAAACTTACCCATCACTGTGGGAAATGGCTTTAGTAATTTTGCAATGACATGAAAGACAACTCTTAAAAAGCACATGAGTGAAAATGTGGCTTTTAACAAAATGTAAATCACTTCTAACCACATGAATGGACACTGAGGAGCTAGTGAGGACACCCCCTTCATAAAGTGTGAATTTGGCATGGGAGGGTTTGAAGAGTCTTACAATTTCCAAAGTGCTATTTTCTGAGTTTTAGTTTTTAAAAAATGTTTTGCACATAAAGAAGTACCCTTTTTGCAAGGTGATTTCTTGCTGTTAGTTTCCTAGGTGGTCAGAGACAGGGTTCTTCCTTTTTTCTGCCCCAGTGATCAAAAATACTTGCATGAGGAATGGATATACATTCCCTTCAAGAAAATTTCCCCTAAAATTAAGACAATCTGGTTTCCCCACATTCCTTTCCTATCTCTCTGCGGCTGCATTTTGGCTTGAAGTTCTCATCCTTAGCAAGCTGTTACTTGTTGAAGAGTAAACCTCAGCTGGGGAAACCATCAGGGGGACGGAAAGCGGAGGCTATGTGCTCTGCCCCACAGACCTGCCTGCCTTGGTGACGCTCTGGCGGCTCACTGCCAGAAAGAAAACAGAAAAAGGAGAGAAGGGTAGAAGAAAACCCGGAAAACAACCCCCGAAGTTTTGCGCGGCAGATCGGAGGTCACTGGGTGACCGAATTCAGTTAAGTTTCTGTCCAGGTTGAGGGCTCCAGAGGCCGGTGCTGGTGGACAGTAACCTGTTCATTGCTTGCTACAGGCAGCAGCCGGAGCTGGATGGAAAGGTGGTTTTGCGCCGCCAGATTACAAGACCCAGAAGTGGGTTACACCCAGACAAAATTTTCAGTTCAACCTCCATTTAGCTGCAAGTAGCTTCAGAAAGGAAAGGGACAGGGGTCCCACCAGCCTGGCTATGACCTCCCGGCAGCCCGAGCCCTGGCACCCACCTCCTGTCCCCCGCCGGCAGCGTGGCCTGCAGACCTGCACGTGGAGAGCGGGTCCCCTGATGCCCCGGCGGGGCGGGAGGTGGAGCGGCGGGACACCCGTGAGGCCACCAGAGGCCGCGGAGGGTTGTCCAAGCTGTCGCGGACCTCGCTTCACCCTGGCGTCCGCCTGGGGCCCGTCCGGCTCCGGTGCGCCGTCTGCGTCCCGCAGGGCCCCAGCGACAGCGCCAGGCCGGCGCGCAGCGGGCAGGAGAGGGCACGCCCAGCCCCGGGCCTGCTAGGTCTTGCTCCCGGCAGAGGAGGGAGAAGGATGCACTCAGGTAGCCGCGGGCTAGGAGATCCGCAGAACTTGGGACACCTTCACGGCCTCTCCACCTCTTATACGCGTTCATTTCCAGGCGCCTCAGAATATCAGAGCCCCGCCACTTCCCCTGCCTTCCAGGTAAATTCATCAGTCATACCCCGGGGGCTTCCAGGTCGGGAGGATCCATCCCTTCCTGCCCAAGCAATTGTCTGCCTTGCTAGAATCCTGGAACCCACCGGACTAGACAGATGGCACATAAAGAGGCGATTCACCTCTGAGTAAGAGTCGCGTCATTCCTCCGGAAAGGCGAGGTGCCACAGGAAGGAAGACCCCGGTGACCAGGCCACACTCCCTGCTGGTCTAGACCGCGCCTGGGATGTCTCACCCCAGGATCACCATTCAGTGGGCTGCTGCCTTCCTGCTGGATTTACCTCCAGAGAGCAGCCACGCAGAGGATGGATGTCCCCGGGGAATTCACACAACCTTCAGTTACTGAATGTTTTCTGTGCTAGGCTTGGGTCTGGGCTCTGAGGATGCAGTGGTTAGTAAAACACCTGGAAGCAATAGTTTCTTCATTTGGAAGAAAGAAATGCCAGCCATCCTCTGCTTTCCACCTCAAACCTCAGGTATGGGCATCAGGAACATCATTACAGCTGTGTTAACTTCTTAAGCAGGAAAAGTTACAGAATGTGAAAGTTGAACCTTTTTGCTTTGTTTGAACATCATAATATTCAGAGATTGTTTAGGTTTAAAAGTATTTTAAATATGAATGAAGCTGGGGGTATTGCTCAGTGGTACAGTGCTGGCTGGGCATGTTCAACATGGTGGGTTCCATCCTCAGTACTCAAATAAATCAAATCAGTAAGTAAATCAAATCAATCAATCAATACAAGCCAGTTGAACTTTATCAGCAATATAGGATTTTTTGGACTGAGGGTGCAGTTCAGTGCCAGAGCACCTACCCTGTGTTCCTTCCCTAGAAAAACACAGGCATTTTACAATTAAAATAATTAAAAATTTAGAGGAAATTTCTAATTTAGTTAAGTCAGCCAGATAGAGGGATGGAACTGTCATCTGATTATACTTTCTCATTCATCCAGTACTGCACATGTACGGTACTCTCCCTCACCTTGGACAGAAAGCGAGTGTGAAAAGACCTGCTTTCTGGAGACTGTGTTCTTGGTGGGTTAGAACTTAGCTTGTGTTCAGGACCTTCTGTGTGACTTGAAACATAATGGTTCTATCTGTCCCAATGCAGTTTTCCTACTTAATTGAAAACACCTGGATTGTACTAAAGACATCAACTGCTTTTAGGCTTTCTTTTTGGCCTGTTATTTTTTAAAATTTATACAGCTGCTCCTTGATTTACAATGGGGTTGTTTTCTGCTAAGTTGAACATCATGAGGTAAAAGTGCATCTAATACTGTTAATCTCCAAACATTGTAGTTTGGTAGCACAGTATGTTAGAGCATAGCAGTCCTACCCCTCATGGTGGTGTGGCTGGCTTGCTGCAGTGCCCCAAACTTGAAGCAATGTTTGTTGCTCCTGAATCATTACACAGTTGAAAGATTGAAAGTTAAGCCATGGGAAATCAAGGCACAAAATCTTCTGTGGATGGGTTTTGCCAGTCTTTGTACTTCATTTAAATGGAATTAGATGATACGTATTATTTTGTGTCCGTCTTGTTTGGTTAAACATTTTTATGAGTTTAATCCATAGTATGTATTCTAGATTTAAATTTTTTAAAAATTTATTTTTATTTTATGTGTATGAGTTTTGCCTCATACACATGTAAGTGTACCATGTATGTGCAGTGCCCACCAAGGCTAGAAGAGGGTGTCAGATTCTCTAGAAGTGGAGTTATGGACAGTTGTTAGAGACCATTTGGGTGCTGGGAATCAAACCCAAATCCCCCTCAAGAGCAGCCAGTACTCTTAATTGCTGAGTCATCTTTTCAGCCCCTGTATTCTAGGCTTTAAAAAATTATTTATTATCATTTTATTTTATGTGTATGAGTGTATTGCCTACTTGTGTGTAAGTGTACCCATGTCATGCAATGTCAGTGAAGGTCAGAAAAGGGCATCTGAGTCCCTTGGAACTGGAATTATGGACAGTTGTTAGCCACTATGTGGGTGCTGTGAATTGAACCCAGAGCTCTTTAACTGCTGAGCCACCTCTCCAGCACCACATAGATTTTTTTTAAGATGTGCATTTGGGACTTCAAAACTACACACACACACACACACAGACAGACAGACAGACACACACACATACACACACACACACACACACACACACACACACACACACTGCTTTTCCCCTGTTATAACACAAGTAGAATCAATGCTCCAAGTCTTTCATGTAATTAATTCATAATACTAATCAGCAGTGAATTTAATTAGCTTATTTATTTTCTCATCCACTTTATTAGCCAGATGCTTAATTAGATATCACAATACATGCTGAAAAGACTTAGATTAATGACTATCTTCAATTGCAATTATAATGTGGAGAAATACAAAAGAGGCATTTCTAATTTTGCCAGGTGTTGGAGTGGTGATGGCTGTGGTAGGAGTGTGAGAATGGTTTCAGAAACATTGTTTACTTTTGTATTTTTCTTTAAAATTTCATTCATACATAGTGTGTTTTAGTCGTATTTATCCCCCCATTACTCTTTCATCTCCCTCCTCCTTCCACTGAACCCCTTCTTCCTAGCAAATTCCCTTCTTATTTACGTGTCTTTTTCTCTTTTTCTTCTTCTGTGTGACCCACTGAGTTCAGTTAGGGGTTCTTGCATGGGCATAGGTAACCGCAGCTGCTATGAGTTGCTGTGTATAATGGCCATGTCATGCCTAGAAGACAGAAGACAGAAGACAGCCTTCATCACAACACTCTTTCTTACTTTTTTTTTTTTTTTTTCTGAGACAGAGTCTCCCTGTAGTCCCCAGCTGGCCTGGAACTGATGATGTAGACCAGGCTGGCCTTGATCTCATAGAGATCCATCAACTTCTGCCTCTGCAGTTGACTACCTCCATTAACACTTATGGCACCATTGTGCCAGTGGGCACATCTTGCCTGGCAGGCTGGTATTGTAGCATGTATCCTCTACAGCTTGGTAAGACTGTTGAAGACTTTTCTTCCTCAGTGGCCTGCAGAGCACCTTCAAGCACTATGAAAGCTAACCAGCAGGGAGGATGTTTCCAGATCAGTTGTGACTTGATTTCTCTATGTCTTGCAACCAAAGTATGTGGTGTTTTCAGCAAAAAGTTCTGGCGGGCAACCAAGAAAAATAGTAGTCTGTATTGTTTTCGGGACCTCTGTGCCTCCAAGACCAACAAGTTACTTATTTATTTATTATTTATTTACTTATTTATTTATTTAATTTATTTATTTTGTGCGTGTGTGTGTGTGTGTGTGTGTGTGTGTGTGTGTATGCCTTTGAATGCCAGAAGATGGTGTCAGACTCTCTGGAGTTACAGACCATTGTAAACTTCCTGATGTGGGTGTGGACGGAATTCAGGTACTCTGTAAGAATGGCTAGTCCTATTAATCATTGAGCCATTTCTCAAGCCCTGCCCTGCACTATGATTTTCATGTAATAACATATGGATTCTGGGAGCCTCATTATCCACCCATGTAGGGTACCTAAAAGAGGTGATTTCTGAAATAGAAATTGAAACTTTGGATAAGATCTTGACAATTTTTTTTTCTTACAAAAAAGATTTATTTGTGTGTGTACATGTGTGTCTCAGGGGTACAAGAGACGGGGATGTGGGTACAATAGTAGGCATACGGAAGTCAAAGGACAACTTTTTAGGAGTCAGTTCTCTCCTTCCACATTGTTTCTGAGGCATGGTCTCTCATTTTTTTTGCCTCTGTGCTACCTGTGCAAGCTTCTGGTGGATTCTCCTGTCTCTGCCTCCCATCTCGCCATATTGAATCTGATACTAGAGATTTAAGTCACTACCACATCCAGGTTTTTATGTGGGTTCTGGGGATTAGACTCAGACTGTCAGGCTTGTAAAGTAAGTGCTTTTCCCAGTGATCCATCTCAATGGACCAAGATCTTGACAGATTTTATAAACCTCTTTGAAAGTCTTCTTCTTCTTCTTTTTTTTAAATTAGCAGACAGAACTTCAGGTAGTGGAACTGTATTTCTTTTCCTTAAAATCTTGCATGTTCATGGTGCCAATACTGAAATAACATCAATTATCAGTGGTCCATAACTGTAAGCTATGTGCTGTCTGCATTATCATGTAGTGTATGAGTAGACTGAACTGGTGAGAAGTATCATATTCCACATTTGTTGAACATGGCATCAAATGAGAACCTGTGAAGCATACATGCCTTCTCTCTGGCATAAGCCCTGCAGTTAAAATGTTACACTGATTTCACTAGACTGGGGAAGTTGCTTGCAGGTGGAGCCTTTTTTTTTTTTTTTTCATTTTTTTCTGATAAATGGTTTCATTTGATAAGATGAATAGGATGTTACCAAATATAAATTTCTTCATTTAAGCCTCTAGCTTAAATATGCTAAAAGTCTGACAACTAAACAAGAAAGGGCACAGGCACTTAAAATCTTTTGTATTTTCGCCGAGTCCTTGGGCTACATCAAGTGGGAGTTCATCCATGTGTGCAGAGAACATGTTCTGCTCTGTGTGAGGAAGCAGAGTATGAGTATTACAGCCACCGTCCTTTCCAGTGGGTGGCCAGTGCTTTCTATGCCTGGGCAAGTTCTAAAATGTTCTCACCACAGTGGAAAGGGTGTGTCTGATGTGTCTGCGGGTCCTGGATGAAGGCCTCCCTCAGAGGTGGTGCTGGGTCACCTGGA